ACCCCATCCCCACCCATCCCCTTCCCTGGAGCTCCATCTCTTCTGACCCCTCCCGTCTAAAAAGGCACTACTAAGACAGACCAGTTCCTCTGAGACGCCCACAAAGTGTTCTACAAAGTGCCCTACAGTCATCACCATGCGCTGTAGGCTAGAGGAACCTCCCCAGCTTTAGTCTCTTTCTGTGTGTGTGTGTGAGTGTGAGAGCGAGTGTGTGTATGAGTGTAATGGCGGTTTGCGTTTGGGCGGCAGCCCCGTTGCTCTTCTTGGGGCTGTGCCTTTGCAGCGTAGGGGGCCAGGCCCAAGGAGAGGTCCTGGAGTTTGGGGGCGTATCCAGCCAGTGGGGGCGGTTTCCCGTGTGGAATGCCTGCTGCGAGAGCGTGCTGAGTTTCAGTCTGCGGACTCACAGCCAGGAGGGCCTGCTGCTCTACCTGGACGATGAGGGCTTCTGTGACTTCCTGGAGCTGCTGCTTCTCCACGGCCACCTCCGCCTCCGCTTCTCCATCTTCTGTGCCGAGCCAGCCGAGCTGCAGTCAGGCGTGGCGGTGAGCGATGGACGGTGGCACGCGGTGCGTGTCAAGCGGGACTGGAGGAACACCTCGCTCGAGGTGGATGGGCGACTGGAGGGCTGGGCGGAGGTAAAGAGTAAGAGAAGAGACATGACGGTATTCAGTCACACGTACGTGGGCGGGTTGTCGTCRGAGCTCCACTCCTCGCCTCTGCGCCTCACCTCGCCCTCGGTGAGGGAGCACGCCGCTTTCCGTGGCTGGATCACGGCGGTGAGCATCAACGGCTCGCTGGTGACGCTGGACGGCTCCGAGGGCGTCACAGTAACAGCTGGCTGTGGGCCGGACCACCAGTGCCAGAATGGAGGGGTGTGCAGCGTGGTCAACGACCAGGCCGTCTGCGACTGCTCCGACACCGGCTACCAAGGCAATGACTGCAGCGAAGGTAAGACCTAAAACCATGCTGACCCATCAAATGCATCCCATCATTTACTGACGTACTGACACCCTTAAACACACACAAATACATAAATATCTCACGATCCATTACACCAAATCTGAACTCCAAACCCMTTGGCTCAAGCATATAGTTTTCATTCAGACCTTCACATCTCTCTGCTTGGCATCGCTGGATCAGCAGCCATCACAAAAAGTGCAAAGCAGGCATACAGATTATGTTTGATATTGATTTTTTTGGCTGCAAATGACTCCCAGCTCACATTGTTCACCAGCAATTCAAAAAAAGGCCCGTTCTATAAGAAGGAATCAGTTTAAAGATGCCAGCGAGCTTATGAATCAGCAGATTGTATCCAAATACTTGAGACTCACTGAACGATCTTACCTGGTTGGCAAGCTTTAAAGGGCTCAGTTGGTGTATTTGGCAGAGCACCTCAACCATATAGATCTTTCATGGATGTGGTAGTTGGCTTGGGTGGAGAAACTCTAATTGGAACGGGGCGAAGAGGCTGGAAATCAGCGGTTGTTACATGGCTGACACCTGGCCGCCTGTGGTAATGGATTCAGATTGATTCTAGATGGCGTTCAGAGCTGCTATGCAAAGGATGCTGAAATGATGTGTGTAGAATCCATCACCTGCCATTAATTTTACAGCCTCCAGCCTTTTTCAGGATGCTCTGTTTGTGTCTGTATGCTTTTGTGWAGTGTGGTAACGTGTCAGGGCTCTTACTGAGGAAAAACATAGTGTTGTGTAGGTATAAAAAAAGCGTGACAGCGCACAATGAAAAATATATTTTAAGACTTGCACTCCATAAGAAAAAGCCTCCTTTAATTCTGCCAAACAAGCTTTTGGTCAATACAAGTGCCAGTATGCAGGGTATTGTAATTATGGCCATTACAAAAGCTAAACAGTTGCTTAATGAACTCAGCTACCTCGTTATGGCCCACACTGCAAAATGCTTTCATTTCCTCCCCCTGCTAAGTTGTGTGTGTCGTCAGATTTGCATGAGTTCATTCCGAGCAAATCTGCATTCTTAATCAATAGCTCTCTAAACCGCTGCACGCCGAAGATACCTCTCAGCTCTCCTCGAGCCATTGATTCAATTTTCCTTTCTTTTTTTTCTTCTTCCTTTTTTATGACACAAATGCATCTGCCACAAAAACGTCTGGGTGGCCTTGTTGCGTGCCCACTGTTCACCACCGTCAGCATCGCACACATGCCTTTTTAGCCACCCACTACATCACACCTTAACATTTAGTGGACAGTGGGATGGCCCGGGTTACCATGGAGACAGGATTAATAAGGAGACCACATGCCAGGAGTGTCTCTTCATCATCGTTTTTCCCCTCTTTGCTACCTGCGGCTGGTCTTCTCGGTGATACCAGGCATCATTGTCTGCCACCCAGAGCTGCTGTTTTTGAAACGCCTGGGCTTTTATTCTACAGTCATTTATGTTGAAAGTAGAAGGCATCAATCTTTTCCAAGCAGCTGAGAAGGTACCGGTGCATTCATGTTCACACGTGCTGAAATAATTAATCTGTTGTGAGAGAATTAATAAATCACGCTCCGACAATTAGTCAACTAGTTGTTCTGGAGGAAATTAATCTGAAAGTAGCTTGATCATTAACTTCCACAGGGACCTATATACTGTATGTATAT